GGCGGTCACGAGGCCAATCACGAGGAAAAGGCAATGCCGGGCCAGGTCTGCCCCGGACCGGGGGCGAGCCTAGTCTTTTACCAGTCTCTACCGATTTTTAAATCTTTTGGCCCCGTTCTTGAGAAACTGCAATTTTTATTTCGGTCTACATCGGCTCCCCGCGTGGAGGCATGGTCGGTGGCCGACCTGGAGTTACGTAATCCCAAAAATAGGGAAACTTCTTCAAAAATTGGATGTTTCTAAAAGTAAACCTTAAAAATAGAGGCCTAATGTTGGTATTAAAAATAAGGGTCTAAAAATAGGCTCTAAAATAAGGCCCTTTAAAGTAGGTTCTTAAAATAGGTTTCAAAAATAGGTTTCAAAAATAGGCTCCAAAAATGTATTTTTGTAGCTCTTTAAAATTGGGTGCAAAAGCGGTCTCTAAATTAGTATTATGTCCTCTATATTTGGCAGAACATTTTTAGACACTAAAATTGGGATATAAATTTAGCCTAAAAATAGCGGTAGGACAAGTGAGCAGTAGGACAAACGCAGCCGCCCCAAAAGAAGATGTACTAAAGTTGTTGTCTCTTGGACTCTGAGCACAAAACAAAAAATCTAGTGTGCAGTAGTTGGGACGAGAAACTAAAATCATATTGTGGGTTCAAACCTCTATCGTAGTCCAAATTTCATCCCTTATCATAATTGCTGTCTGGAATAAAAAAATAAAATAAAATAACAACAAATACAAAAGCTAACTCAGTTATGGTAAAAAAAAAGTAGAGTTAACTTACATGTCAACATGGCCCACAAAAGAAGATGTACTCAAGTTTCAGACTCTTGGACACTATCAGAGTACAAAACGAAAAAAATATAGAGTGAAGTGGCTGTGACGAGCAACTTAAAAGTCAAATCTGGAGTTCAAAATCTCAATCGTAGTCCAAGTTTCATCCCACATCTTGATTGCTTCTCTGGAACGAAAAAAATAAAAAAAAAACTAACAACACATATAAAAACCCAAACCAGTAGCTATGACATGATGTTTACTTACATTAAAATTTAGTTGCACACTTTGAGAACAATAAGAGACTAGAAGAATCATTATTGAGTTCTATTTCTGTGCCGATTCATTTTGAAAAGATGTTGGGGTTTGGAATCATCATGAAGGCAAAGTTTCTCTGCCGTCTCTTCATGGTCCCTCTGAAACATTTAAAAAAAAGATAAACAACTGATGAAAAGGACAATGTTTAAAAAATTTTGGATGGATAGCATTGGTGTCTTCTCGCGTGCAATGAACGGTTCAAAGAAAAAAAAGGGGCTTTGTGGTGTATGTACAATTGAGTCCATAACCTCAGAACTGGTAGCAAAGTATTACAGAACTTCCAATTATCATCAGCGAAACTTGCGAGCTATGTAGATAACCCTTGTTGCGAGTGCCGAACACAAAAAGGGCCGGGAAACACCGTGAGTTTACAACTAAAGAATTTCGGCAATAATGTTGGGTTTTAGGTGCCGACCTTGTTAGGTTACAGGCCGCGGCCCCCGGGCACCGTTGAAATATGTATTACTAAGTACAAAAAAAACTTACCTATTTATTCCCATTTGAAGAGACCACCCGTGCTTCAAATTTGTTTCTCTTCCATCCATTGTTCTTGTCAGCACAAGGAAAAAATCTCATTCAACGAACGTTAATGAAAGCAGATGATACTCGTCTGGTGCTGTCGTGTGTGCTAGTTTTGGCAGGATGCTCTCATCTTTGTGATACCCCAAACGAATGGTTCCAAGAGCCTTGCCGCGCGGGGTCCGCGGGCGCCCGCGGGGCTGAGCCTAGCCGGGAAGCATTGTTGAATTCCGCGAGGCTGCGCCGCGCCACAGCCAGACAGACTCCCACCCCCCCCGGCAGCCCCCCCTATTATTTGTTAGGATACGCACTTCGTTTCTGGACTCTGGAGTAAAAGCTAGCTGACACCTTTGTGTCTCGTAGTATTAGGTATATTTTAAAGCAAAGGTACCAAAGGTATCATCTGCTAAAAACATAGTTCGAGCGAAGAGTATAACACAGAAACAACGACAGGAACGCCGAGAGGGCGCGCTAAGACAAGACACAAGACAGTCGGAAAGAGGAGCCAACTTAATAACACCAAAATGCTGCCAACCTAACCGGGGCGGTTTATTTGAACGGTCGTCCGCGCCAGCTCACGCTAGCCCCTCATTGGCCGGCGCTGATGGCGGGGCGCGGGGAGGACGGGGGACGTACCCCCACTCCGGCCTCCGCTGGCCGTCACCACGCCGCGCGCGATCCCTGTCCGCTGCAGGGATGAATGATCATTACATGGCATGCCCCTGGAATTAAGGGTGTACTAGGGGGTCACTTGTATGGGACGTGCATCTCGCAAGGACGAACAGCGTACTTCCTACTCTGGACATCAGGCGGAGATGTAATGTCGGCCCGAACAGTGCACCTGGCTAACCCAACCATACTTCCAAACACTATCTGTGTTCAGGCTGAAACATCGGACCAACAATCTGTGTGAATCCTGCAACAAACTGCTGAGATCCAGGACAGGGGCACACAAGCCTGGGTTGTGGCATTTTCTAAGTAAGCAACCATATCTTTAAGGTTATTGTAAGGTGAAAATCCTATTTTTAAGATGAGGTGTTGCAGTTCTTTCAATTTATGACCGTTTTAAGTACCCCCAATATTTTCTGACAGGTTTTCATGAATTTTTTTGTTCTTCCATACCTTGTAGAATCTGCAGGGCTTAGCCTTCAAGTGCTAAAAAATTATCTGATAGGGACAAAAGAATAAAGTGACACAAACCTTGACCATAATATTAAGTTTTGAAAAAAATCACCACTGGGCCAATTTCAAAATTTGAACAAATTCCGAAAAGGGCATTTCACTTTATTCTTAAGAGCTCTACAAACTAGTTTTTCAATTATTCAAGGCTGAACAACTATTGATTCAACAGGTAGAGACTTAGGAAAAACAAAAAAAATCAAGAAATGTCTTGTTTATAAAGTGTTTGGGAGTTGAGCCTCATCAGTGGCACTTATTTTCATGAGCACCTCCTCAAAAGAAGTTAAAGCAGATTCTCATTTTTTTTCAATTCTTTACAGTAACCTTAATCAGTTAAATCAATACTAAGAACAACCCTGACATATTTTTATCTTTCAGATGCACTCCAAAAATATGAATCTTATAGTCATATCACTACAAGGAGTGCCGAAATGGGGATGAATCTCACCAGATCCCGTAAAGTTTCAGCGGTTAACAACGACCGAAGGATTAAAAATTTTACCGAAGACATGCTTGAGGGGAGAATCTCTATAAACGCATTTCTTCACAAAGTGTCAATCAGGGTCCTGAATGTGTATGATCGATTCATTGTCTAAACATTTGCGAGCTTCTGCGTGGAGTGTGAGGAACCTTAAGCTTTCTGAGTTGCTCTGTCCATGATTTTTTCTATAAGTGTTCCTTTTTTTAGAACAATGTTTTATGTTTCATTGTATGTAATAATGATTTTGTTTCTTAAATGTGTGCTAACTATAACTGACTCTGCACTTGAAGAATAAATGTTGCTCTTGTATCTGATGTTCGAGGTCTCTTTCTTTGACTGACTCCCGTGTGTGATTCACCTGGTCCATTGTTGATCGCTGCCATGCGTGACAATTTCCTGATCATAAATTCTCCAACATCTGAAATTCTCACGGCACTGTTACTGAAACCAGTTCATCAGTATTGACTCTGCATTTGCACCTAAGGTTTCAACGACTTCACATAGCAGTTAAAATGTTAGAAGACTGAGGCTATCTTAGTGGTGGAAAGAGAAGCTATTCAGTTCATGGTATTTAGAATTTATTATGAAAATTAACAACAAAGTAATAAGAAAGCATGTATCGTAGCAACAATCATAGCAACAGCAGTCAAAGTCCCAGCACTTGAAGGTAAAGTTGCCACCTGTAACAAGACAAAGCAGAGAAGAGCAAGAAAATGAATGATGGAGATTCACCAAATATTCATTCTCTATATTCTCTCTATATCTCACCTTAATATCTGTCTTGAAAAGCCATAACCACTAGAAGTCTCTCTCTGTCTTGAAATGTTGAAACCGCGTTTTCACATTTTCACATGTGTAAAGTTAATTCAGAATGAACTGGTTTCTTCCTCTTAATACCAAGAGTGGAGAGTGCAATTGAAATGCTTCAAATACATGACTGAGCAAATGTTTTGTTTTCCTGAAGTCGCTGTCGGTCCGGCCGGCCTTGTGTCGGCTGCATGCTGTTGATGCTGGTGGTATGTTCCACTCACCCATGCGTTCCTGTAGGTCCATGTGGTCAGAAACATCGATACCTCGAGCTCGTTGATAGCTCGAGGGCGGCATGATGGCGGTGGTGCCCGCTCTGCTCGAGAACACTTTCCATCGCGGCAAATACGAAAAGAATGATAAAGTGAAATAAAGTTATTTCCTAACTCAGGTTTAGTTATCACAGCCAGGATCATAGCAGAGGTCACATAAGAGCTGCCCGACATTAGTTTTTACTATAGGCAATAACTTAAAGCTAATAAGAGATATTACCAATAACTTACTTAGTTAACTTAGATATCTTATTTAGTGTAATTAACATAGATACTTAATTAAGTTCGGAGAAAATAACTTCGGAGAAACAAGACACCCCCGGATAAATGTCAGAAAGTGTACGGGCATAAAGGAAAGTCCATTAATATACAAACCCAGCCTTCGTAAAAATTGCGTTTATCATTTCAAAACTATTAAAAACTAACGTCTCCTTAAACAAAAATGGCCGTGAGGTAACCGTTAGCCCTGCCTAAACAAAAGTCAGAATCTGTATGGACAGAATGGGTGGTTAATAAATAAACCACCCCAATATTTGGTTAAATTTCGTTCTCTTTACAAAAACTTTCTAAAACTAACGTCATTTTATCACTAAATGACACTAAAGCAGCCGTTTGCTCTGCCTGTGGAAAAGTCAGAAACTGTACGGACATAAAGGAAGGGTTAATAAATAAACTAACCCAATCTTTGATTAAACTTCGTTCTCTTTATGAAAACTTTCTAAAACTAACGTTTTTTCATCGTAACGTAACATTAGGGCAGCCGTTTGCCCTGCCTTGGTAAAAGTCAGAAACTGTACTGACATGAAGGGAGGTCAATGAATTAACTATCTCAGTCTTCGATTAAATTGCGTTCTCTTTACCATAACTATCTAAAACTAACGTTTTCTAATCGCAAAATAGCAAAAAGGCAGCCGTTTGCAGTGCCTGGAGGAAGGTCAGAATGTGTCCGGACATAATGGAATTTCCGATGATATACGAACCCAGCTTTTGTTTAAATAACCTTTTGCGCATCAAAACAATTCAAAACCAACAAGTCTTTATCTGAAAATGGACTGAAGACAGCCGCTGGCACTGCCCGGAAAAATGTCAGAAAGTGTACGGGCATAAAGGAAAGTCCATTAATATACAAACCCAGCCAGCCTTCGTAAAAATTGCGTTTATCATTTCAAAACTATTGAAAACTAACGTCTCCTTAAACAAAAATGGCCGTGAGGTAACCGTTAGCCCTGCCTGAACAAAAGTCAAAATCTGTATGGACAGAATGGGTGGTTAATAAATAAACCACCCAAATATTTAATTAAATTTCGTTCTCTTTACAAAAACTTTCTAAAACTTACGTCATTTTATCACTAAATGACACTAAAGCAGCCGTTTGCCCTGCCTTAGGAAAAGTCAGAAACTGTACGGACATAAAGGAAGGGTTAATAAATAAACTAACCCAATCTTTGATTAAACTTTGTTCTCTTTACCAAAACTATCTAAAACTAACGTTTTTTTCATCGCAAAGTAACATTAGGGCAGCCGTTTGCCCTGCCTTGGTAAAAGTCAGAAACTGTACTGACATAAAGGGAGGTCAATGAATTAACTATCTCAGCCTTCGATTAAATTGCGTTCTCTTTACCAAAACTATCTAAAACTAACGTTTTTTTAATCGCAAAACAGCATAAAGGCAGCCGTTTGCAGTGCCTGGAGGAAGGTCAGAATTTGTCCGGACATAAAGGAATTTCCGATGATATACGAACCCAGCTTTTGTTTAAATAACCTTTCGCGTATCAAAACAATTCAAAACCAACAAGTCTTTATCTGAAAATGGACTGAAGACAGCCGCTGGCACTGCCCGGATAAATATCAGAAAGTGTACGGGCATAAAGGAAAGTCCATTAATATATAAACCCAGACTTCGTAAAAATTGCGTTTATTATATCAAAACTATCCAGAACTAACGTGGTTTAAAACCAAGATGCGCCCGAGGTAGCCGTTTGCTCTGCCTGGCGAATCGTCAGAATCTGTACAGACCTGAAATTAAGTTTTAAAATAGAACTAAACTATTATTGCTGGAAAAGAGTGTTTCAATGCAAAACAATTCTCAACTAACACAGTTTCACCTCGATACGGCGTTAAGAGCACAGGCTGCGCTGCGTGGGGCAGTATGAGAATTTGTACGAACAGTTGCATCATTTTAAAAAAAAATTAAGGTTCTGTTTTGTCGAAATGTTATTTTTGATGATAAAACTATTCGAAACTCACAAAATTGTGAAGGGTTACATGTCTACAGGGTCTTCTGAGGAAGAACCGAGTTTGAGTCCGGCTATCTTCTTCTCACTTGCACACGCGTGCTAGAATTCGGTGAACACTTTCAGCGAAACTTAAAACTAACCAAAACTAAGTGCAACTAACGAAATACTATCGTTTAGACGTAGTCCGGTTTCGTTGGGCTGGTCTTGTCGGGACAGGTTCATGGGGGTTCTGTAGGGATTGATTTGAATCCTTATAACAGGGCCGGACTGGCCTCGGGTGCCTAGCCCGCAGTTGGAGAGCGGTTCCCTTCCGAGAGCTATGTAAGCCCCGAAATGCGCCCCCTCCCTCCCCAACAAAAAAGCCTGATGGCAGACTGGAAGTATAAGCTAGTGTTGTCATTCGGGGCTGTAGCTTAACATAACCTTCGTATCGTAATACTAAATGTGACTGAGCAGAAAAATGGAATTTAC